CTAGGGTTAACCCATTTTTTTAATAAACATAGCAGTTTCAGAGAGTTAAGCCTTCCCCCATTCCCTTTAGCGGCTGTCTCATTTTTACAGTGAGAAGACACCAGTGTCCATAGGAAAGCATTGATAATGCTTTCCTATGCGACCGGCTGAATGTGCGCGCAGCGAGCTCCCCGCCTAGCGCTGGAAAAAGGTAAGTTTTAACCCCTTTCCCCCTTCCAGAGCAGGGCGGGAGGGGGTCCCTGAGGGTGGGGGCACCCTCAGGGCACTATAGTGCCAGGAAAACGAGTATGTTTTCCTGGCACTATAGTGGTCCTTTAAGAAGTTTTCCAAATATTTTGGTTCTTTAAAATCAGACCAAACAATTGTTGCAACATTCATATTATGCCATACATTTTCTTCATCAATTGAAGGACTTGGGAAAAAGTAGGATCAACTTGCTTATAATTTTGTGTAGAAATTGCAAAGCTGGACAGATCATGTTTTCTTTAGAAGATAATCTGAACTGCATGAAAATGTAACAATGTACACGACAGAGCCTCAAGATAAATATACATTATATTATTAGAAAACATTTAAAAAACTAAAAGTAGCTAAAAAATACCAAAAATATATTTTGCTCTTTCATTTCTTATTTGAGATAACAAGTAAAAAGCTTGCATGCAGCATTGAAATGCTTTAAACAGACATTAAGATTGAGATGCTGGGGGGCGGGGCCTGACCGCCGATTGGATCAGACGTGTATCATCTGAGCTCCTGCATTTAAGCCAATATATCGGAGCTAACTGCGTGCTGTCAGCAAAAACTGATCTAAATCGATGTCCACAATACTTGCCAGATGATGGTGAACACGGAGATACCCTACAAGATCACCTACAGCATCAAAGTAACCCGATTGAGGCCCAAGGCTCAAAATGATTGAGCTGGAGTGAGACGGCCGCTTTCCCAGTTCTCTGATCGGCGCTCTGCCTCCCCCCCCCCTGGACCGGCGAGGGTCATCCCAGTCCCCTCGGATGTCCAGCACTACACACAGCCACGCTACAACGCTTGCCCTGCTAAGAACCATGGACTGGGCAGCAGGGCCTTAGGCCTTTAGGCGCCCTGTGCGAAAAATATTCACAGCGCCCCTCCATGGTCACATGCCCTCATCCATCTTGTAAAAAGTCCATTACATAGGTGTTACGTATTAACGTGATTTCTGGACATATCATACATATACACGTATATTAATACATTTGTAAATATTATAGGTGTAATAAAACATATAATAATAATAATACACCCATATTAATATACATGTATATTTAAATATTACTCTCAGAAATCATGAGCAGAAAATTATATATATATGGGCTAGAAGAATTCCTCCCACGTGTATAGATTTGGGAAAAACAAACCTATGTGAAGGAACACTCAAGCATTAGGAGTAAAAACACATTTCTAACAAGAGTGTCTTGACTCCCTGAAATTGCCATGCCATTATGTTGTGTGTGGAATAGGGATGTAGCGTGTTTGTGTGTGTAGGTTAGGTAATGTGTGTGTGTGTAGGTTATGTAATGTGTGTGTGTGTGTAAAGGGGATGTAGTGTGTATGTGTGTAGGAAACAGTGTGTGCATAGGGTATATAGTGTGTATGTGTTTAGGGAACATAGTGTGTGTGTGTGTGTAGTGTGTATGGGTGCAAGTTACGTAGTGTGTATATATAGGGAGCATAGTGTGTCTGTACATTTTGTAGTGTTTGTGAGATATCTAGTGTGTATGTGTGTAGAGAACAAAGTGTGTTTATAGGGAGCGTTGTGTGTGAGTAGATTATGTAATGTGTGAGTAGATTATGTGGTGTGCGTGTGAGTGTGTGGATTATATAGTGTTTATGTGAGTAGATTATGTAGTGTGCGTGTGTGTGTGTGAGTAGATTATGTAGTGTGTGTATAGGGGATGTTGTGTGTGAGTAGATTATGTAGTGTGCGTGCGTGAGTAGATTATGTAGTGTGTGTATGTGTGTGTGTGTATGGAGTGTGTGTAGGTAACACAGTAAGGGTGGGATAGTGATGATTTGTGGGTAGGAGGGGGTGACATAAGGCTTTAAATGAGGAGATGGGAGAGCAATTTCAGGTTTTGTTTTCTTAAAATTAATTAATGTTGATTCCCCCCTTCTGCCCCCCTCGTTCTTGCATACCTTTGGGCAGGGATGGGGGAATACTGATGACCTGGTGGTCCAGCGGTCTCTGCCAGTCCTTTCAGAACACGAGCCCTCCTCTAGCAAGCTCTGCGTTGATAGTATGAGAGCGTTGCCACGGCAACACTCTGAATGCCAAGCTCGCGAGAGGAGAGCAGATTTAAAGCGCTCAATGCTCGCTCCCATCATCCAAACAGCGGGCCAGTGAGGGAGGTCCTCAATCTACTCACCAGCCAATACCAAAGCAGAGCACACTCTGGGTTGGCCGGCTGGGGCGCAATCTTTCACCCACCAGGGCGCTCTGAGGTAGGGCAGGACCTGGTTGTGCGAGCTGTGTTGGTTGCCCGGCGCCCCTGTTGGCATGGCGCCCTGTGCGGCCGCACAGCTCACACACCCCTAAGGCCGGCCCTGCTGGGCAGTTTGCTCCAAGATGGCTGCCTCCCAACTGCCTCATGCACATTATAGTGCGGAGTCCGAACAGAGCGACAATGCATGGCACAGTCTCACAAGGACTTCTATGACAAGTTTCATGCCCACCTAGAAACACCTAACGCACAAGACATGAGGGGTGCGTGAAAGGCAGAGTGGCGGGAGACGAGCGGGTCCCCCCCCGGGCACACTTCCCACAGCAACGCTACAAATCCACACAATGAGCCCACCCGGGCTGAAGACCACTGGGGATGCACCCCCAGAACACCGGCTATCACCGCTGAGGACCCGACGCCGCAGGCAGTGATCATCCATCGGGATCCCAAGCCATCCCCCGCAGGGGAATACCTCGGCCTCCCTCGGGAGCAACCAGGTTCGACGCCTAGAGGTACAGGTCTTCACGATGGCCAGGGGCTATGGGGAGGACTTGCCTGGGATCTGCCTCCTGTCGGCGCGCCATCCCCTACGCCTGATACCGAGCCGGGGCATAGGCTGACCCGGGACTTTACACCCTATAAGCGCAGACAGCCGGCGAGACTGGCAGCAATTTGAACTACATTCCTACAACTGGCAGGCCTACCTATTTGTCACCCCCGAGCAAATTCTCGCCCATAAAGAGCTCTGAAACCTGCGTCCTGGGGACTTAAGTATTTTCCATGCCCATATGTTAAAACATATATATTTGTTTGCTTGTTGAAGATGGGCACCAAATTGGAAACTCGCCAACACATGTTTAGTCTGTTGACAGTGATAAAACGACACACTGCAGACGCACACACAAGGCAGACACCTGGCATAGACATAAAAAACAAGAGGATAGAAGGGTATTTCCCCTTTTAGGTGTGCTGCCTTTACACTATTATATACTTTCCTAGTGGTATTACTAGCGCTGATCCTATCTTGATCTTTCTACCTGGCATAGACATACCTCAGCACAGCGGGACACACACACACTTAACGCACCCGCCACCATGCCTATAATGGGGACACCAAGCCCGATCCATGTTACACATCAACGTAGGCTGAGGGGTGGAGACCGTGTTTCCTTTAGGCCTACTACCTGCCATGATATATGCACACCTAGCACGCACCCGTAGAAATCTAACCAGCAATACGCAGTGCACAACTTGCACCAGCCTTGGCTTAGACCCGAGAACACTCAGCATGACACACCCTGTTTACACATACACTGCTCAGGCATACCTCACATGATCAACAGGCACTGTCGTGGCGGAGTGGCCTACGCGCTTAGGCGTTTCTTATGTTAAGAGTTTCATAACCTTTGTCTAGCTAATCTTATGAACAAAAATGTGTGCAGAATATTCATATGCCATTTCACATGTATAAGGCCTGCTATCACAGCTTAGCATGTTTATCTTCCTATAATTTTTACGTGAAAAGCTCAGATTAAGCGAACGATACCTATCCTCACACAAAAGCTAAACCTGTTATAATCTACGCATATAGAGCAAGCCTCCTACGGAGATCTATTAGTTCAGCTAGTTTAAGCGGTATACAAAACAGAAAAAAAATGTGCAAGTTCTCTGCATGCCATGTTTATGTTATATTTATCAGTTTATGATAACCGTGCTTGTGAAAGCTATTGTGGCTGTACAAGCACTGCTGTAATCTTATGCACAAAAAAAAAAAAAAAAAAAAAGAAAGAAAGAAAAAAAAAAGATTGAGATGCTGGTTAAACAGACATTGTAAAAACTATTAATGGGGATCAAAGACACATCCTACATCCTACTTCATTCCTTGTTTTATGAGATGGGGACTTATATATGAGCCATGACTAACCAGTAAACCACAAGGAATATAACTATTTTTTTAAGGACCTTTTGGCAATGTCTTCATAAGTGGAATTTAAAATATTATTTGTTTTTTATTTTAATTTAAAAAAAACATAAATTTTTTAGAAATGTTTAATATGTATTCTTTTGGAGAGGTGGAGACGGATATGGGGGCCCCAGATGCATACTGTGCTTCCCAGACAGACTTAAGGACTTCTGGGAATCACCTGGACTCGTTTTATACATCTATAATCTCATTCACAAGAATATTGGTAAAAAAACTAACAAATATATTCAGCTCTAGCATAAAATCTGTCCTCTTAATGTAAGTTTTTTAGCAATGCACTTGCATGTGTTTAGCTCAGTGAGTTGTTAAGTTGCGATAAATGACAATTTTTTCTTACTTCATTTAAGATTCTGTCACGTATTTAATGGTTTTACTGAATTTAACACTTAAGGCTTTGCATACTAAAACAGATTTGGCATTTCTTAATTAATGATTCCATACAGTGAGAAGGTGGTTTATCACATGCATTATTTATTTTCTACATATTTTTTAATCTCTTCTATTTTTGGCTCATGTCACTATGCCAGTTTAGAAAGGTACTACACTGAAGAAAATTATAAACGCAACACTTTTGTTTTTGCCCCCATTTTTCATGAGCTGAACTCAAAGATCTAAGACTTTTTCTATGTTCACAAAAGGCCTATTTCTCTATATCACCTGTGCAATAATCATGCTGTCTAATCAGCATCTTGATATGCCACACCTGTGAGGTGGATGGATTATCTCGACAAAGGAGAAGTGCTCACTAACACAAATTTAGACAGATTTGTGAACAATATTTGAGAGAAATAGGCCTTTTGTGTGCATAGAAAAAGTCTTAGATCTTTGAGTTCAGCTCATGAAAAATGGGGGCAAAAACACAAGTGTTGCGTTTATAATTTTCTTCAGTGTAGATACCAAATTCTTGAAAATATAGTGGGTTGGTTTTTTTCAACTTAAAGTTTATTACATTTTCCTGGGGTACAGAAAGAAAAAAGAATAGAGTATATCAACCGTGTCCGAGGCATGGTGCTGTCACGTATTCATCCGCACATAAAAATTTGGTTAATGACATTCACTGCTCTGACAGGAAAAGTTGTGCCGAGCAGCAATCAAATCCACAGGAGGGTTTGTGCTGAGCAGCAATTATGCAAATAGGAACCTGGTAACTACCTTTGTGGTCAAAGGCCGGTTACAGCCTATCAGATATAGAGAAGGGGTATTTAGGCCCAGTTCTCATCCTGCTCAGGGCCCTGTCGTGATTTCCCTTGTGGTTGTCCGAGAGCACGTTCCTGATTCAAGTTTCTTCTGGTTTTTGACTTTGGCTTTGATTTTGATTTCCCTATATTCTGGTATCCCTGACTTCTGGCTTTCCCTTATTGTTGTGTCTCTTTCTATATCCCCTGACCTCGGCAAGTATCCTGACTACTCTTTGGTACGTTAAGTCCGGCCATTCTAAGGCCCGGTAATACGTTACCTATTAGTCATCTGTGTGACACAATTCTACGTGCTGGATCAACTAGTTATTCTGACAGGTGCCCACCAATAATCTAGAGAGAATACTTGGAGTTACTTATTGTGAGGCTCCTAGTTTTGCACCCGGTTCCTCGTGAGTATGTATCTATATCCCATATCGCTGTGAGATATGTGTTGTTTCTATGTGTGTTACATCTGTTATCCCTGGTATGTTAGTGGAGAATTGTGCCCAATTAGTGCTGTCACTCCAGGTGCATCCCTGGGTGGTCTCCTACCATTGCGCTTTGCCCCCCTCCCATGCAGCCTTTTTTCAACCTGGCCTTCTATTGGACACCGACCACTTCACTATGGAGCGCTTTTATAGATCCTCTAGTCGCATTAGTGATGTAAATGTGCTTGCGCCATTGCATGGATGACGCACACGCACGTATTGGCATCACATGGGCAGGACTGACCAATCACTGACCTCCTAGGGCTATTTAAACTAATTTCAGCTTTTCTTCTGTGTCCTATTTACTAGTTATCTGAGAGCACATTTCTTGTATTAGTCATTGGCTTTTCTGACCTTGGCTTTTTTTCCTGACTATTCTTCTTTTTATTGTCCTTGACCTATGACTGTCTTATCATGTTTGTCTTGTTCTGTATCTTTGGCCTTGCCTTGTCTATGACTATTCTATTTTTCCATTAAGTCGAGTCACTCTAAGGCCCGATAATATTCATTATTCACTAACATCTATTGACCCTTTATTTACCAATTTAGGCACTGCATTGTTGGGTCATAGATTATCGTGTCACTGAGGCAGGTTCAGGTTTCACACCATCCTTGTTAAACTACCGATTTGTGACCAAAACTGTTCTGCCAAGGGACACGACCACCATATACCCATAAAAGAGCCATCCCTGGATGAGGACAAGGATTCTGTAGTTGTTTTGGTTTCTGTTGCTTGTCCATGCAGGCTTTTTAATGCAAACACTGCCTTTTTTAGAGATTACGTTACTGCCTAGTAAAACCTCTAATGGAAATCACTCAGACAACCACTAGAGTTGCTTCCTGGGTCAGCGCTACAAAGAGATCCCCATAGAAATACACTGTTTTAATGAATTGATGATAACATGAATCCAAGAACATTCACAGAAATGCAGACTCTGCAATTTCTCTTGACTCCATTGCTACCAATGACTATTGACACGTATTATAAATACCATGAGCACTGTCTCGTTCCACCCTGTGATCACATGTGAACAACTCCAGTTACATTACATACCCATCATAACCTGGCAGGATGGTTGGATGCAGTCCATTGAGAAACAACACATATCTCACAGCGAATATGAATGCACATATAGCTTGGCTGGCAATAGCCTCACACTGGATTAGCTGGCTTAAAACCCTATGGGGCCTGGTGCTGATGATAATGATGGGCCTAATTACAGATACTATTTAATAGAACACACTATAGCAGTCAAACCTCCTCACAGGGGTCAAGTCCTAGGAAAAAAAACATGTAGGAACTCACCCAAGATTTCCACCACCCCGATATGGGTGAAGTACCCTGTGCATGTTTTGCCCAGAGCAAACAAATTTAATGACACGTTTGCTGGTGCCTGTTTTATCATATATGTTGGTAATAATATACTGTAACTAAACCCCTATTATTTTTGCCTAAATTAGGTGTTTAAAAAAAAAAAAAGAAAAAAAAAAAAGAATAGAATCTGTGAGCTTTGAAGTTACTGTTTAGTGGATTAGTGAGTGCGTTGTGTAATAATAATAATAATATATATATATATATTACGTGGGCCTATTCCATGGGCAGCTCTATTAGTCCCTATGTTAATCTGGCCATGGTCATGTACACTTCCTGTCTGATGCCTCACTCTTACAGTGTTAAACCAGCAGGTATCCCAAAGTACTCCCTGCTCATTTAATCAACAGACAAAGTGCCTGAGGCTGCAGTCCACAAGCCCTGTGTGGTAATGGTCCAAGGGGTAATCGTAAATATTCCTTTAAAACCATTTACACTTTGTTCCACTGTGAGTTTCTTGGGTGTGTGTTTTAGTATAGCTTCTTTGAAGTGATTCTGGCAATTAACAAGGCTGCAATACAGATTTAATTAAGTTTTTATACAATGTTTCACTGTCATAATTTATTTGACAAATTTGTATACTTGTACAGAAGCGATTAAACTACTACTCAAGTTATTGGACCTGATGCTTATACTACTATTTAATTTTATGGACCGAGGTCACTGGATCTTATCTAGCAATGTATATTAAGAATTACCATATATACTCAAGTATAAGTCTAGTTTTTCAGCACATTATTTGTGCTGAAAAACCCCCACTCGACTTATACTCGAGTCAGTGTCTGTATTATGGTATTACAAGCCCGGCGGTCCCGTTGGGGGCTGGCAGATAGCTGTTACTTACCTTCCTGCAGCTCCTGTCAGCTCCCTTCTCCTCCACTGTAAGTCTCGCGGTGTGACTGCCGTGCGGAGTGTTGCCACGGGCTCTGACCCCGCAGCTCTCGCGAGACTTACAGTGGAGCTGACCGGACCAGAGGAGAAGGGAGCTGACAGGAGCTGCAGGAAAGGTAAGTAACAGCCCCCTCCTACACAGCCCATCCACTGGACCACCAGGGAATGAGAGCCCCCCTCCCCGGCCAGCTAACAAGCAGGGAGGGGGGCCGAAAATAAAAATTAAATAATAAAAAAAATTATTACAATAAAAAAATGTAAATATTAAAAAAGTAAATAATAAAATAAAAAAAACTAAAATAAAAAAATTTAAAAAAATTACCCAGTTCACACACAAACACACACTCATACAAACACACCCACTGCATTGTATACACACACACACTGCATTATATACACACACACTCATACAAACACACACTCTGCATTATACACACACTCATACAAACATACACTCTGCATTATATACACACACACACACACTGCATTATTTAATGCAGAGTGTGTGTTTGTATGAGTGTGTCCGTATGTAATGCAGAGTGTGTTTGTATGAGTGTGTGTGTGTGTGTGTATAATGCAGATTGTTTCTATGAGTGTGTGTGTGTATACTGTATGAGTGTGTGTTTGTATGAGTGTGTGTGTGTATAATGCAGTGTGTTTTTGTATGAGTGTGTGTATAATGCAGATTGTTTGTATGAGTGTGTGTATAATGCAGATTGTTTGTATGAGTGTGTGTGTATAATGCAGAGTGTGTGTATGAGTGTGTGTTTGTAATGCAGAGTGTGTGTGTGTGTGTAATGCAGAGTGTGTGTATGAGTGTGTGTGTATAATGCAGAGTGTGTGTTTGTATAAGTGTGTGTGTGTATATAATGCAGTGTGTGTGTTTGTATGAGTGTGTGTGTGTGTGTGTATATAACTATAAAAATCCCAGAATTTCGTAGCCCCAAGTTTTACCCTCGACTTATCCACGAGGCATAGCATATTTCACAATTGTTGGTCACAAAACTGCACTCGACTTATACATGAGATCGACTTATACACGAGTATATACGGTAATTGTTTTTTTCCCACTTGAATTATTATGAATGTGGCTATACAAAATTCCTTTTTTTTTCCTTCTTCCTGTTTTGGATTGGGTGTTATTAAGATGATCAGGAAATATACAATACTGCCATCTTGTGGATACCTTGGTTATTAAGTATGAAATAAAATTATTTTTGCTACATTTTTTTTTAGAATAATACCTTTGTTGACTTATAATACACTGAATTGTCTCTCATATACAGTGTCAAAAATAAACCTGGAATAGCTATGCTAGTTTTAAATATGTTTAAGCGTTTTGATTTTGTAAAAAATCCAATTTTTAACTTCTCTAATACTATTATACTATTCGGAATATATAGCACTATGAGTGAAAATAAGATGAGGATACATTAGTGTGTATTGTGAAGGGAACAACGTGACATAATTTGGATTTGTGACATCTAAAGCAAGATACAACTGTTTAGCTTGTACCTATTAAAAGTACATCGCAAGCTGTTAAGAAGACAGTGACCTGGAACATGTTATATGAAGGTAGCATGGGGAAAAGTTGATTTATGAGATGAGTGGACATATTTTGAATCGGCTCCATATACAAGAACTAGCATTTATTTGAATCTGCTGTATATTGGTCCACACTGCAGTTACCAAGCACACCACTTCATGGAAGGCACCCTATTGAATACAGAAGTACCCTTCTTACAGTGACCTATAGGGGCAGCAAGTGGATAGATTCCTTCTGGTGGAGCTGCATGTCTACAGCTCTGAATTGTCCAGAGGCCAACAAATGTGGCCTTCCACTTGGACCAGAGGTGCTTGTCTACACCAAATATCCCACAATGGTGTAGACACAGGTCTCCTAAAATATACGATAGCTTACAAGTATATCCCAAACAATATACAGAAAATAAATGATATAAAAA